TATCTAAAAATAGTTTTGACTAGTCTAAAGAAAAGCATTGAGAGAATTTGGATATTTGAAGAGAAAATGATTTGTCAGCTGAGGAAATGATTCTGAAGAATTTCTTAAATTTTTAAATAATAAAAGTATTACATTCAAAATTTAAATAGTAGAACAACCATGTAAAATGGAAAGTATACATTAAGAAATAAAAATTAAAATACAATAAAAGCTTGAAGAATCAGAATAATGCATAAAGAACTTTCAGCATAAAGTTGTAAATAATACATGCATTATTTGTTTGAAAGAAAGGAAAATGGTTAAAGATGCATTGATCTCGGGGGTCAGCAAAAGGACTATTTAACATGGCTTGAATTTAAAATTGGTATGGAGATTTTTGTGATACATAGACTAACGTTTTTAACTCAAGGGAGAACCCAGAAACAACAGATTTTAGAGCAGGGCATTTGGTATCAACATGCAATAAAATAAGAATCTTGTCAGTGTTTATGTCTGAAGTTACTGGGCTTTTGGGTCACTACAGGTTCCCATTTAGGGCTAGTTGATGATCTACAATGAAATCCGTATTTCAGAAGGGATAGAAATAATCCACTCTATGTGTTAATGCTCTGTCTTTCTATATAGGCAGTGCATTTCAGTCTGTAACCAAAGTGTGTTTTCTGCATCTGCTTTCAGAAGCAATCATCCACAGGATTCAGGCATAAAAACTCAGCCCACGTTATCAGCAAATAGAGAAAAAGACATTTCCTCTGCAGCAAAGGCTGCAACATGACAGTGAAAGAATTCTTTTGAACAAAGGATTCCTCAGGTGCTTTGAGGAGTGAAGCAAAAATGGATAATTGCTTTTCATTGTTCTTCAAACACAGAAAACACAGAAATATAACTTACTTTTGTAAGTTCAATAATAATTTCTGTACTGATGGTTAATGTTTTTTCCTAATTTACTTGGCTCTAACTATCCTCTGAATAAATATCATCTTTACATTCTTATTTGCTTCTGAAACATACACCTATCTTCTGCATAATGATAAAAACTTATCACTATAAATGTTTTTCTTCTCAAACCTGGAGACTGCATTCTTTTACTTGGAAAAGCTCTTCTCTTTAGAGACTTGTAATGCAGTATATACAGAATTCACTGGCTTACATTCTTCCATGATTCATCTGTTGAAACATATCTCAGATTACAAGTGTTTCATAATACATCATCTGTTGCAATGCAGATGAGATATTGTTGTAGAACTGAATTTTAAACATTAATATCTTACTTAATATTTTAGTGTTATAAACACAATAGGTGAGAATTTTATGATTAAATGGTCTTGACAATACATGTCTCTGTTCATAAAGTCAGACTCAGTAGGCTGCTTGTATTCCCTAGGTTCAACATATGCTAGAAACTATCTGGGAAGAAAACTATTTAGAAATTTTAGTCCATATAAATTGAATTTGCTAACTGTAATGCATGCTTAACTTTGGACACTAGAAAGAAACAAAAAATACCCAAAAAGCCAACCTACCTTTCACTGAGTTGTATTTATTGCTATAATATAAATGATGTTTTGTAAACCTTTCTGGCATTTAAAAAAAAATCCAATATAAAAAGTACCGTATTCGCTTTTAATAAAAAGGACATAAGAGAATTCTAAAAGGCTGGTCTAGATGCTGATGTACTTCCACGCAGAACTTCTGGTGACAGACAATTTTGAGGGCCAAGGTTTATTGCTCAGAACAGCAAAATAAATGCTATAAATTGTTTGAGAGCTATGTATAACCAATCTAAAGACAAAACCAGAACTGCTAATGCTGCTCATTCCACTATCCTACAGTAAGATTAATGCCAGAAAAGATGAAATATAATAGAGATTCCATTCTAGTGTTCCCTGAGATGAATGTATATTATATATGAAGAGAGCTATTTTAGAATCTAGTAAAAATTGCTTTTTAAGTATGTAATATGTTATAACTCTTTCTGACAACTGCTGTAAGAAAATACACGTGTAGCCAGAAAAAAGAACATTGAAGATTTTCAATCTTTTTATCACTATTTTCCTAAAAGCCTTTCCTGTAGACTGAAGTTTATTACATTTGTCTAAGCAGACTAAGATCCAAGCCATAAGAAGTGATAGATTTTGTAAATAATTTTTCCAAGAGGCCATAAAATCACATGATTTGCATTGGAAGGGAACTTTAAAGGACATTTAGTCAACCATTATGAATAAAAGTAAACTGAAGAGGAGCAAGAAGATAATTTTTACTCTTCTAAAAGGTTTCTGGAGTTTAGTTCACAGGTGTGATACTAGGAATTAATTTTATGGAAATTTTTTGAGTACTGAGAGTACTCAAAAGATGTTGGCAAGCTTACTTCATGTAAGACACTATTTATATAGCAGACAGAAGAAGAGCAAAGTGTCATGTTAAATAAAACCTGAAAATACAGAATGAAAGAACTAGGGTACGCAAGCAAGAAAGAAAACAAAGAGAGAGAAATGGTTTCATACAAAGAGTGCATATATTTAAACCAAGATTGTGATGAGTCTACAAACGAATAGAGGAACTTTAAACGATAAAGGGACCAATAAGGAGAGTGGATGGTAAGACAAGACAAGACAAGACTAAACCAGAAGGCTGACAAATATAGTGACAGCAGCACAAAAAAAAAGTAAGACACTAAATTAATATTTCAAAACCTAAAAAACAACAGATTTTCCTACCCACACAGCCAGGCTGAATTAAAATGCAACTAAGGTAGGTGTAGAATTGTTCAGCAAAAATTCAATAGCATAAAGATCCTAAAAAACGAAAAGTATGTCAGAAACTCAGGTAAGAGAAGTAGACTCATTCATTGAACTGTAAAGACCATAATTTTACAAGTCGTCAAAAGATAAATGTATTGACTCAAAGTTGTAAATCTAGGTTTTTCATAAGAATCCTGCTGATTTGAAGCACCTGGTAAAAAAATTCTTTAAAACTTGTTACCTTTTCCAGGACAGGAAAAAATGTCACTTTCAAAATGATGCTACTCTGGGCACTCTAGAAATTTATCCATTCAGTCCAGTTCTTTCATACCCTTGCTTGTAAGCTCCTAAGTTGGATTGATACATTTTTTACTTAACTGACACACAACAATATGAAAACCCTTATTTTTGGGAGGACAGGCAATTTGAATGCCTTAGAGACTACTAATTACAGAGAGAAAGCTCATCAAAGACAGAAAGCACAGTAAATAGGAACAAAGGACTTCTGAGGATGGCTGCCTCTTTGGTTCCAGTACTTCACACCACTCTGGCTACCTATCCTTCCTGTGTTGTGACTGTAATAAAGCAAACAGGAGAGTGGGAAATGCTGTAAGTTTTCCTTAACAGTTTTCTAATTAAGGTAATAATCTGAAAACTGAGCCTGTTACTGTTTGAAGATAAATGTTTTAAGAAACACAGAAACTTTAGTGTTTTTGCAGGTCTAGTGTTCATTTATTATCTGGTTAAAGTGCTAGAACCTCAGCACAAATATGACTTGCCTGTTAATACCATAAATTCTGTAAAAATTTTATGTCGATCTATAAAAAGGGCTTTTTCATAAAACTTACATGCTGCTCATTATTTAAAAAAGGAGAAAAAGTTACCTCCTTATCCCAGCAAGTGTAAGACCCATAGCATGGAATAGAAACGGACCAGTCAAAAATTAAGCACAGCCTATGAGCTAACCATGAAATAGTTAGAAATAAAAGCATGACTATGTAGACAAAACAGAAATGTGCCTGAGCTCGGACTGGTAACATTTTTTTAAACAGGATTAAGCCAACTCACAATTAGATAGTTCACTAAATGTTTAGATTTATCAGTACTTGGCTTCACACCATCCCATGATATTCAGGATTGCCTATATCACCTCTTTTGAGGGGTTCCCTCTAGTTCCAGTGTGAGCTGTATTCCTGTCATTCCTCTTTCCTATCTCCCCTTCCTTAGGCTCCAGCAGAATGCTCTCTACCCCACGGGGGGCTGTGTGCCAGGAACACGCTTTGACTGACCTGAGTGGATCTACAGCTGCTCTGTAGACCACACAGATTTTACTGCTCAGCCTTTACTGAGCAAGGCCCAAACTCCACCATCTGACCCCTGAGCTGGACCTCTCCCAAGAGAACCAGAAACTGTCTAGCTCAGAAAACTCAGTGTGTTAAAAATCAGCAGGGTAACAGAATATACACTGAGATGTGTACCCCACTCTGTGCTGATACCAGTAGCCCTCAGCTCGGGTTAAAGGTGGCACAGCTGCCTCCTTTGCATTGGATACTGGGAAAAATATCTTCCTGAAAGAGCTGTCAAGCAATGGAACATGCTGTCCAGGAGTGGAGTCACTATTCCTGCAGGTATTTAAAGGACATGTGGCTGTGGGACTCAGGGGCAAGGTTTAGTAGTGGACTCTGCAGTTCTAGCAGTTGGACTTGGTCCATGATTCTATAATCTTAAATATATTCTCTGTTGTAGTCATCAAAAGCATATGGTTATGATTTTATTGTTTTCAGCTATAATTATTTTTTGTCTAGTAATATCTTTTCTCTTAGAGGAGGAGACATATTCTTTGACATAACTTTTTTCTCAAATAGGCTCAATAACAATACTTAGTGAAACAGATTATCTGCTATCTCCTTTCTTGCCTTAAACATTCATGTTTCAGACCTTTGGCAGTGTCATTATTCCATCATGAAATTTTACAGGATGTATCAACCACGAATGTTTGTCAAAAATAATTAAGTTAAAACTTCTTCACATTTATTGAAAACACTACCTTTATGCTATTTGAATAACTTTATAAAGCAATAAGGACATTCACACTCTGATTTTTTTTCCCCATTAGTAATTTTTGAGATTAGATATGCATTATGCATAATATTTGTGTCTCTTAGATTATTTTTCATCATAAAAACACTGCAAAATTCATAATAAATTATAAATAAGAAACATTTCTACTGAACGTGGACAAGTAAATTTAAACATTAGTACCTGAAACAACACCAATTCCATCATCACAGTCATAATCAGAGACTTCACTGTCACTGATTCTTTTCGATCCTGGAAAAAGAAAAGACATGTATCATTTTCCTTCCTGTAAGTTAAAACTACCCTCTGTCAATAATACTTAAATTAATGTATGGATTTCATACAAGACCATGAAGCATTAATATCAGCATATAAAGGTAATTATTCATGTTATAATTATTGCACATATATGACTGCACCAATTATTTCAGCTAAATCTTTTAAGTATTATAAAATAAAATGCTGAAATACATCTCCACAACATTGCTTTTATGAACTATTTTTATATACTTTATATTCATTCCATACACACAGATATTTGCATTCACTCCATACAGAAACTGAGATCACACTGTTCATCTTCCTAGTTTTCACATACAAGGCATCATCCCTCCTGAAAGTCTCTGAATAACAGAAAGATCATTAATAATAATAATATTAAATGCATGTACTACTTTCTTTGAGTTCTTAATAAGGATTATCAGGAGAACAGGCAGCTTCACACATACAGCGTGTCATGGAACACAACCAAACAATTAAATCTATACCTGCCAAAATAGCTACAGCTGAGTTGGCAAAAGCAGATTCCACTTCCATGATTAGAGCCTGAATGTAGGTCACACAGGACAAGTAAATATGTCAGGTTTTGTTCAGCCTAAATTTACTTTGGTCTTCCACGACGTCTTTTAAACGGTATTTGATTGTTGCTATCAGGGTTAAATGCTGGCATGTGACTGATAATTATTCATTTACTTCTTTTAAATGTGAAGAGATCCCTGCTCTTCAGCAAGATGGTGTGTCTATTTTTAGTTTCTGGCCATCTAGAAAGGGCTAATTGGAAGGCAGAAACTTTAATTGTCACCACACCTCCAATCACGTGCAAGATTTGTTTTTCCTGCCTCAGCCCATTTTTTCTGAAAAATGTAGACACAAAAATATCAGTAGAAAACTTGGGGTAAACCTGAAGAAGGCCAGGACAAAGTCTTAATGCTCTATCTGGGTGACTGTCACAGAAGGATGTCTACCCTCCTTTCCCAACAGAAAACTATGAGAACATGGACTAAGTGATTTTTGACAAAAATAAAGAGATTTCAATTTAAAGAAACTTTAGAAATTATTTGAATTATAAGAACTGCTGTAGTTTTTTAGGCTGTTGATTATTTGTTTACCTGCCCACCAGAGGATAGTGGAAGGTCCCACTTTAGCAGAGTGTGCTTACAAGATCTGAGACTTCTCCTAAGCCATCCTGTTTACAATAAGGAATCAACTAATTCTCCACAAATCCAGTTAATTTCATTTTTAGTTACAGTATTCTCTCTGCCTCTGTAATATTCTATGTTAGTAAATTCTGCAATCTGAGTATGCATTGTGTGAAATCAACTTCCCTATATTTTATTTCTATTGTATTATTTTCAGACAATGCCCTCCAAGCTTGTGCATTCTGAGAAACACAAATCAGCATTCTGTGCTCTTCTATAGTTATCTCTTTGGTTTGCAGCGTTTTGAGATGAAATATCATTCTTTGGTTCCTTTACATATGCAAACCATTCCATATTTCTGATTGTTCCTGCTGTATTTGTTTGTATATTTTCTATTTCTTCTGGGTCTTTTATGAGAAGTCAGAAGTCACTGCAGCAATTAAGATGTGGGTATATGAATTTATGATTGAGACTGCAGACTATTTCTTTGAGGATAAAAATGTCTCTGTTTAAAACTTATCCAACTAAAAAATGGTGTTAAGCGTGATACGTGCTAATTCTTAGAAAAGAATATAGCCTACCAATAAATTATGCCATTTCAATGAAGAAATTTTAATAGTGGTTATTTAATTGCACTAAAGTTTGATGCTTTCCTCACAAATAGGAAATTAAAATTAGTTCAGAGAAACTCATGCAATTCTCATGTGGTAGCTCAATTTATTATAAAATTTTAGAAATAGTCATGCTACAATGGGTAAGGGACAGGTATCTTTGAATTCAAGAAATAACAAGTCTTTCTCTAAAACAAAAATTTACAAGCAAGTGATGGCAATTAGTACTCAAGAAAACCTAGAAAATGAGGGCAGAAATGAAGGAAAAGGTTTGTACCTCCCCTGATTATTTTCTTAATACAGTATTGCAAAGGCCCAGTCTCCTTTTTCCCCCAAAGAAAGCATCCATTCATATGATGCTGTCCCTGTTGTCTTTTTCAGGAGAGCCTTTTACCGGTGTAGTGAAATACGAGCAAGGATTAGTCTCCATTCTTCTTAGCCACTGATTCAAATCCAGGTCATTAAATGAGGACAATATTTGTGGCCAAGCACCAAGCAGGAGAGCCCTATGAGCTGGCTGGGGTTTGGCTGGGACCTGCAAGGCAAAAGCCCCCAAAGAGAGTGCAAAGCAGTGGGACTCTGTCTTTTGGTCACCCTGACACTGATCTGGCAGTGGGTCTGTGGCTGCTGTGCCGAGATGCCAATAATGATACCCAGACCCCATCAGAGAGAGGACTGTGGAATGGGAAGATGAGGGCAATTGAGTTTGCTGATGCTCATCACATGGATGCTTGGGAAGGTTTTCATCACTAAAGATGTAAAAAGGCTGAGTCAGCTATGATTTGAATAGATGTCATTTACTCATCAACTAATTCATTCTTATGAATGAATCTAATTAATTACAATTGAGGTTGCTTTTTATTTATGTTTATATTTACAGCTAAGTACATCTGCTTTAACATATTTTTAGAATATGATATTCTGTATTCAGGAGGAGATAGTTGCATCTTTGAGGATGAAAATAGTCAGCTGTTGTCAGAGTGGGCTCTAGACTTCCCAGCTGTGTAGCTAAAATTATATATTGTTGTAGTCACAGGATACATCTGGCAGAAAAGAGATATTAAGAAGCTTCAACAGACCACAGGTATAAAAAACAAGGTTTTCTCTCTCTCCGTCTGTCTCCTCAAGCCACACCTGCCTGCTCCAGAATCTCCTAATACCTCAGCCCCACATCATCATGAGCTTCAAGGAAGAGCCAGGGTAAGAGAAAGTGAATGGGCCAGAATTGAGACCTGCCCAAAGGATGGGAGAAGAAAAAGAACAAAAGCAAGGGAATAATCAGATTTCAGTGATTTCTCAAACTGCCTTTGCCATTGCAAAGAGGAGAGTCTCTTGTAACACCTGACATCCTTAAATATGAAAACTTGATCTGTAAGATGAGATATGAAGCTTGTTTATCTCAGATCATCTATTCTGTCTCCTCAAGCGGCTAGAAGCCAGCTCTAACTACCATCAGACTTAAACCAATTGAAAAACAAAAATAATGTTAAAGTAATATTTTTCATTTCCTTACAAATGTAAATTTAGATGATAGTAATGAAATCAGAAGAAATTCTAAGGAGAATTAATTACTTGGTTTTATCCTTGGCAATCAATGTTTCCAGGAAGGACACAGGAAGGAAAGCAATGCTATGTCAATTAAATGTGTAGTGTCAAGAACTTCTGCCTAGAATATATAACCTCTGCAAAGGAAGCAGATTATACATATATAAAATATCTTCCATTAACTTCCGAAATGGAACAAACTAGAAAGTGTAAAGGTCAAAATCCTTTATTGAACCAAGTATTTGAAATGTCAGTATAATTGCTGGCAGATTAGTTTAATATTTCTCGGAATTTTTGCAAGAGTAATTTCATCTGCTGTGTATTAATTTAAGACGGTAATTTTCTTTTTAACCTACTGACAATGTAAATGTGAAGATTTAGGCATGTGTCCCACCTTAGCCATGTCTTTTCAAAGTACTACTTCATTAAGTAATTTGCACCACTGATTACAAAAAAGAGAAAGAGCAATTCATGTTTTATCTGGGAAATGTGACATTGAAGCCTCCCACAAATTTTTGCAAATTAATATTGTGAATTAACCAGTTGTTTAGTATTTAGTTAATATCTTAAACTCTTTGACATATACATTATAAAATATGGCCCTAAAATAAGAGTTCAAATCCATTCTTACATAAATTCAGAATTCAATAAAAATTTTATATTCCAGGATACTGTATACATTAAATGAATGCATTGGTGCCAATATTTTGCCTGTAGTTAACTTTTTCTTTAATGCCACTAGCATGTACTTTATTTATAAAACTTTATTGGAGGTATTATTCCCTTTTTGTCTGATAACTAGGTAGTAATAGATGGTAAATACAGACTTTCAAATCCCTTCCACCCAGATTAACAATTATTACAGTTTTGGACTGAAGGCAAAATAGACCCCATGCTACTGTAACCCTCAAATTGCCTTAATTCAGCATAACCCCAGCCCCAGTGAAATCAAAATATATATTGTTATTCCATTTAGCAAGTTTGCATTTAACAGCCTTAAACTATCAATAAAACTTCTCAGGGGAGAGTTTATAGGAGAGTTTACACTGGGGACAGCGGAAAACCTCCCTATCAGAACTTGTCAAAGCTCAGCATCCTCCTGCCCTTCCACAGCTCCCCACTCCTTCCCTGCAATGCTGCTCAGCTGTGAGAACACGGGCACAGCAGAACTGGAAGTTCACAGCACCTGCACTGTAGCTTCCATTGCAGGGCTGGGGGAAAACCCCACTACATAAAAACCATTAGGACCATTATTTTCAATTTCCATTTAGCAAGTACCTTCTATTTAATTTTTCTATTATTTGCCCTTTTACTTTCTATTATGAGGAAAAGGAATTTATAATACAGTAGTTTCTTAGTATAAAAACATTTCAATTTTTCATCTTCAGGGATGAAATAATGCAAAGAAAAAAATTCAGTGTTTCATTCAATTTCACGAATGAAACAGGTTTTTTTGTAAACTTTCCATGGGATGCAGTGTTGGTGGCTATCGAAAACTTTAACAACTTCTAAATAAAAATAATATGGGAGCAATTGAAAAAATGTTCACAAAATATTTTTTGGTTTTCTGAAGCCTGTCAATGTTTAAAAAGAATTGGACAATGTATTTAATAAAATGCTTTAGCTTTTGGTCAGGACTAAATGGTTGGGCTCTTGGACTAGATGACTGTGGCAGGAC